ATATAGAGTCCCCTCTACCAAAGAGAGGCTATTAAGTGCAATCACCAGATTTTTCACTAGGCTGGTTACCTTGGTCTTGCAATTACCTGCAAGACCAGGTAATTGCAAGACTCCAGGTTTCTGTCACTGCATTAACCAGATGTATCCAGATGACAGAGAAGAGCTCTGAATTTACTCCCAATGAATGACACAAGCTGTGTTTTAAGTATTTAAGAGTTGAAACAAAACTATTCCAGTTAACGCTGACTTAGACATCCTCCATCACCGTAACTGGAAATACTCTGCCCTACACAAACATTCACACATGCCAAAGTGAGGCAGCACGTCTGTCCAGGATGGGCACAGACTTTACAGCGCTCCTACCTGGTTTCCTTCCAAAGTTTCCATTATCAAAATGTAAGTTTCCCAAAACTGTAGGAGTTGCTCGTTCTTCTCAGCAGACCACCAGAACAGACTCGGTTCTAAGGAGAGAAGCCAAAGACAGGGGTTTCTCGCGGCTCCGCCCGCCGGGCCGCGCTGCCCGTTCCCTCCGCCCGCCCGCCGGTCCGTACCGTGTCCGCCGTCCGGGGCGCAGCGCAGCTCGGCGCGCTGCCCGCCGCTCAGGTCCAGCGCTCGCTTCAGCAGGTAGCGGGCCCGCTTGCGGCACAGCCCGTCCCGCTCCGTCAGGCCGTCCTGCACCAGCCGCCAGAACCGCGGGCACAGCCGCGCGTCCAGCCCCGGCGCGGCCGGGCCCCGCGGCAGCAGCGCGTCCGCCAGGGCGCTCAGCGCCAGCAGAGCCCGCCCGGCCCGCGCCGCGCCGCCCGAGCCCAGGAGCCCCTCCCAGACGCGCGGCAGCGCCGCCCCGTTCGCGCCCAGCGCCGGCAGCAGCCGCCCGGCCACCAGCGCCGCCGCCGCCTCGCCCTCGCCCTCCTCCCGCACCAGCGCCAGCGCCGCCGCCGCGCACCGCGACAGCAGCTCCGGCTCCTCCAGCCGCGGCGCCGCCGCCACCAGCGCCTCCACCGCCGCCTCCTGCGCGGCCGCCCCGCCGCCCGCCGCCAGCTCGCCCAGCGCGTCGCGGGCCAGGCGCGCCGCCAGCGGCGCCCCGCAGAGCTGCACGCAGTACCGCAGCGCGCCCCGCGCCGCCCGCGCCGCCCGCAGCCGCTCCGCGCTCCCCGCAGCAGCGCCCTCCCCGCCCCGCAGCAGCGGCCGGCACCGCTCCAGCGCCACCTCCCAGGCCGCCCGCCGCAGCGCCTCCGCCTCGCCCGCCGCCGCCGGCCCGCTCGCCGCCAGGCGCTGCAGCAGCAGGCGCAGCGCCTCCGCCCGCTCGGCCGAGAGCGGCGCGCTGAGCGCCCGCAGCAGCGCGGCGCGGTCCCCGCAGCGGGACAGCAGCGTGTCCGCCAGCACCACCTCCATCGCCGGGGGGAGGCGGAGGAGGAGCGGCGGCTGCGCAGGCGGGGGCGGGCGGGGCCCACGAGGGGCGGCGGGAGGCGAAAACACGGTGTGATTGACTGGTTTGGCTGGGTGTGTGTGTGCGTTTCAAATATTCTACATCTTTGGGTCATAATCCGCCGCCGTGAGCGTTCCCAGCCTGGTGGCTGCTCACCACAACCTGGCCCAGCATGGGAGGCATAGTGGAGATACCCCAGGTGCGAGCCTCTCGCTTGGGAGGGTGAAATTCCATCCTTGTGTGCCATAAAAACACTCTCTATTCTTCATGTGCATTACAACACAACATCAGGCAGCAGTAATACACAAAATGCCCAGTTTTCCCACCCGTCAAATTTGTTCTAACCATTTATGCCAAAAGAAGTCGCTGAACAGTGTTCTCATCAGAGCCTACCAGAGGTTTGCCTGAGTGCCTTGCATCTGCCTCAGATCAGAGGCATTCCTGGATGCTGGCTCCATGCTGTTGGCTTGTCAGAAGGGCCCAAGTCAGCAGCACTGAGGCCAGAGAACAGCTCCTGCACAGTTCAGTGTACCGGTGCAGCCAAAGCCTAACTCAGAAAATGAACCTGATTTCCAGTAAGTGTAATTCACCACGGGAGATTACAATTCCCATGAAAAATAAACTTAGAGATCTGCACATCAAAAGTGGTGGCAGACTACTCTCCTCGAAATTGTGGTCATAGGAAAAGGCAAACCTGGAACCTTCTGTTCCTGTGAAAGCAATGGGTAGCAAATTCCTGGTACAGCACAACGTGCTTTCTAATGGGTGTGGGCATTACTTTGGCCAAGATGTGGTTGATTATAATCTAATGAACAAGAAATGCTTGCTGCAAGTTTTCCAAGTGAAGTTCCACTTAATCACTCCTCTCCAAATCACATGAGTAGTCTCTCCTTTTCCTGGCTATCCATTATCTCCAATTTTTTTTAGAATTTTTTTAATCTTTGAGATCCTACTGATTGCAAAGTCACTGAATTTTCTTATTAGAATTGAGCCTGTACTGTGACAATATATGTAATATATTCTGGAAAAAAAGGTGGAAATTAATTCTTTTAAACCCTCCAGCTAAAATGGTTTCCATGCACCTTACTACTCTGCATGTGTTCTGTTACACATAAATTACAGAATCTGGTAAAAGCTCAAGAAAACAGCTCAAATTATACATTTTACTCAAATGTAAAGTAAAACTTGGTACTTTGTTTCACACACACAGAAACATGTTTCATAGGAGGAATTGTTACAATGTGCTTTAGTAATCAGGATGCTTACAGTTGAAATCTCTTACATGCCATAATATATTTTGTTTTTCTATTTGTTCTTTAGTAATTTTTCCATTTCCACTTATAGCATGCAGTCTGATTAATTATGGGAGTTCCTTTTACCAGGCTTGAAACAGTGCTAAGCAGGGGATCCCTTCTTACAATAGGTTTACTCTTCCCTTCCTGGCATCTGTAACTAAAGACAGGTTTCTGTCACTACATTCACAGACAGGTTTCTCTGTCACACCATTTCTTTAATGGTCTGCACAACCACTAGTAATCAAAACAGAATCAAATATATTATGTGTTGTGCTGTTTCTTCATTATTGTCTGAATTCTGCTCTGCCTTTAGTTTTATCCCAGCAGGGTGCCAAATCTAAAGTCTTATTACACCAATTTAAACAACAACATTTAAATTTGAACTGTCCCTCTGTAGATTTTCTTATCAGACAAAAAGGGACATCGGGCTTGGGGAGCTTCTGAGAGGAACATTATGACAACAAAACAAACAAAAACAAGCCAGAAAGGTGGATATGGAGTTAAGAGAGAGAAAATGAGCAAGCATTTTGTAATTTTCAGCAGAGTTTTGTAATTTTCAGGTGTCACGAACCACACCATTCACACCCTCATATCACGGTTGTTAAGTGCCTTGATGGTAGCACCCTAAATTTGTGCTTTTCAACTCTACAATTCCAACACATACCCCTACATCACCCAAGACCATGTCCTATTCTGTTTTCTCCACTTTTCAGGCTTATCCCAACCACTTCTGCCTTGCTTCTAAGCCAGCCCTGCTCCCAGGCCCCCACCCTGCCAGCTGCAGGCACCTGTAGGGTCCCAAAGCCCTTTCAGCCTTGGTTTGCTACACTCAGAATGTCCCACACCTCCCCATCTATCATGTACTCTGCACTCCTATTTATAAGGTATCCTGTATTCCCTGACCTTTCCAGGTGCCCTCCAAACTCAGCATATGGCCTAGATCAAAGGCTAAAATACCTTGATTTTTTTTTTTTGAGAGGACATCTTGTATGTACTTTCTTTATTTCTGTCATACCAGGTATTCTCCCTCAATCAGATGAGTCTATCTTAAAAATGTAAGACTGAGGAATTGCCTGAAACATCAAAGGCAGTCCACCACAATTGCAGACGGCCCTGAAATAAATGGCCAGTCTGAACATGTCCCTTTCATAGGCCACTTCTATCTATAGGCCACAAAATGCTTCTCAGCTCCTTGTAACCCCAGATGTAGAGCTTACTTCACACTCTGCTTCCTTAGCCAGGGTCTCACTGTGTCATTTAATACTATTACTGAGCCAACGAGAGGCAGGACAATGATGAGAAATGTATTATTGTTGATTTTTATCTGAACTTTGTAACAGTACCTTTGCTGATGGTGTGGGTTTCCAGCACATGATAACAAGTTGACCAAATTTGGGTTGATTTTATAATTTAAAGGCTTTACAGTAGTAGTTTATTGGTTTTCATCAGGGCCCATAATTCTACACTAATTTAGCAATACAAGAGGACTGAGGTTCTTTCCTCAGACTCGTAGTTAAAAAATCAGTGCCTTTAGTTACCTGCATATTCTTTTGGACAAATGTATACTTGTTCTTATGTATTTGCTTTCCCCTGTCATCACGCAAACAAGCAATTCTGTACTAGGAAAAATTTCTGGATTATCACTCTGGTGGCTGGTTACCTTAGAAAAGGATTATGGACAAAACTACAGTAGAAACTACAGAAAATTACAGGTCCTGGAAATCCCCACTTTCAGTTTTAGAAGGATGTGTTATGCTGTTGCCATAAAGCGACTGCTAAGGTACTGAGGCACCACAGACTATTAGAACCCAGGCCAAGTCTATGTCTTTAAAAAGTTTCATTTCAATTATGGTTTTAGATCGCACAACGTCCATTTGTTCTCATGAAAGTCCCATACTACCACCTGCACATTTACAGGTAATTCTGCACAGTGCATAAGGAGGAAGGCTCAGCTCACCCTGCACCATGACTTTTTTTCCTTACAGGAGTCTGTGGGAGTGTGTTTGCACAGTGTAAGGTCTCTAGAGGACCAGGTACGTAACACAGCCTTTTCTTCCCTCTCCCACTGCATGCAGGAGAAGGAAATGGGAAATTTCTGAAAGTTATGCAGAAAATTTCCCACCACATCTCTCCCACACAATAATAACATTAAAAGCCCAGATGTGCTCCATGCAATAAACCTTACCAGTTATTATGGTTACATATATTCTTGTTCTCTTCTAGATTTCTCAGTGCTGTTTTGCAGAAAACCAGCAGCACACATAGCTTTTATACGACTCTCACGCTGACACAGCACTTCCCCTCTCTACCAGGAGAAAGGAAAAAAGAAATTTACAGGAGGTGAGAAAGGGAAATAAGTAAATTGCCTAATTTTTGACAGTTTTCCCTAAAGTCCTTGAACTCTTTTGCTAAGACAGATAGAGGCAGAAGTGTTCTAACTGAAAGAGGAAATCATTGATATGCAGCAGGAAAGCTGGTCACAACAATTTCCACAAGGTGGTTGTGCTGTTATCTCCTCATCCTCCAGTGCTTGTTTCCTTTGCCTCCCCAGCCGCACAAATGATTCTTCCAGCTCTTTCACATCACAGTGCAAACATATATTAATCTTCATAACTTTAAAATGAGATTCAGCTTCTCTCTCCAGCTAGTCCCTTCAGCCATCACCTTCTCTCCCTCCTCCCTTTCATTTCTGAACTTACTACCCACATCCAGTGAGCCTGGAGTTTGTCCTCTGCGGCATCCCAGTCTGATTCATGTATCCCAACCTGACTATCCTGTCTGCTGTTATTACAGTAGATCAGCTGTGATTGCTCACAAGCTACCTGTTGAGTTACTAGCTCCACATTTCTATCCTCAAACTGCTTTATGAAAGATGAATAAACCCTTTATATTGCAATAAGTCTGTATGCAGAATTTCCCCAAAACAGGCACATTCCTATCTACTCACATATTTAAAAATTACTGTCTGATCTGTAGGTGTATCACATTCACATCCCCTTTCCTGGCTTTACAAAAGCAATCTTACCCTAATTAGATCTTGCTGTTGTGAAGATCTGTTTCTTAACCTGCCATTTTGACCTTGCCACCTCTCCCTTTATGTCCCTCTGCTGCTTCCCTCTTCTGTGCTACATCAAACACATGCTGTTTCTTTTCCCTTTCCATTTCCAGACCCATTAGTCTATCCTTCCTCATCCTCTCATCTAATACCAAGACACTGACTCACACTGACCCACTCATGCTGCCAGTCTGAGTTGTCCATGTATTAGTCTTTCAAGTAAGACTTAATGTTTATCTTGTGCTAACTCCCACCTCATTTTCCTCTATTATACCCCAAACATCCCTTTGTTGTCACAGAGGCACAAATTTGAGGCAGCACGTGTTCTGTGACCTTCTGTGATCCATGGCCTTCTGTGTGGACTGATAAGCTGATCCCCTCTCTGTGTGCATCTTGTGACCTATTGGTGCTGCATATTTTCCCTGCTGACAGTTAGTACAGTACTATCGGTAGAGAGTAAGGGTAACACTAATTGAGATAAATAAATAAATTAACAAACCCAGAAACCATCAATGTGTCAAGCTGCAGGCAAAAGGAGCCCAATGTTTGCAAATGAACTTTTGTGAGGAGAGGAGTAAAAGACAAATGTAAAGGTGTCCCACAGAGAGAAGTGCTATGAGAACTCTTTGTTGTCTTTCATGCACACATACTGCCCCACATACATTCAGAGCTGTTCAGACATTGAAACTCGTGAAAAGTTAGTTCAGGTCCAGCAGCAGCTCCAGATTTTTCAATCAGACTCACGTCTGAAGCACTCAGACACAAGAGTGAAGCCATCATGATCTCTGCAGAACAGAAGATGGTGCTGTTGTCACTGACATGTGCCTCTCAGGTTTTTTTCTGGTGAAAAGAAAGCAAGTGATAGCGAAGAAAAGGAGAGAAGAGAAGCTAAAAGGAAAGGTGCAGGAAGAAAAGTAACTGCCATTTCTTGGATTTTTTTTCCACTGGAGAAATTTAGAAACTCAAAAGGAAGAATGATAAATGCACAGAAAACCAAAAGGACTATCTAAAAGAGCAGCTGGGAGGAGTGGAGAGGGCAGCATAGATCAGTCATATACTGGATACACTCTTCATTTCTCTGAAGATACTGTAAACTACACTCAGGAAGGTGCTGAATGCCAGCAGTTCCCCAGTGACTCCGTAAGGAGCTACCATTGATTGCCAGCACCTGGGATCTTCAGGGTCAGCGTGTCTCAAGCCAGTGGTTTGAAAACCAAGACATCAAAAAACAGTGGGAATTTTATAAACTAGCACTAAGTAATGGAGTGGAGAAGAAGAAAGAGCAGGATCAGGCAGGCAGGGAGGAGCTGAGAGTGCAGCACAGACTCTCTCACACTGAATCATGGGCTGCATGCTTCCAGCCTTATCAGGGCTATGCTACGTGGCTTCCTTGCTTTATCTGCATGGGGAAAATCAGCACATGAAAGAAACAGCAAGGTGTCTTAAGGACACTGCTCTTAGCGTTGTGTTGTGAGACTGTGCACATCTGTGTAAGAGATTCCAGCGTGAAATTCTTCTTTGACTGAGCAGGACAGCTACATTCACCAGAAACACTACAATATTCCTGGGCTTTTTAGGATGTTTACTTTAAAAATAAAGCCAGAGTTCAACTGTTGTAATGCTGTAAACATCCTGTGTTCAGAAACAGCATTTAAAGACAGCTGATGAAAAGCAGTAGTGTCCAATTAAACATTCCTAATGATGGGAAGTTACAAATCTACTATGTGGTTTGTCACTGTAAGCTACAGAGGGAAAGTTAAGCTGGTAAATCTCTCCAGTTAGACTGAGTGCAGTGGAATGGTCAGGAAAAGATGAATTAGGAAAAAGAATTAAATATAATCCTTTGCCATCTGTCTTTATTTTGCAAACCTACTTGACAGGATACTACTGAAATCTGCAAACATTTTTTATCTGCTTCATGTAGCTGAAGAGCATTTGTTGTACAGACTGGAATTAAAATGCTTCCCAATAACAGTCAGCCATCCCACTTATTATCCTTGTTTGCTTTCCTTTTTAAAAAAAACAAACACTTAGTATTTTGGCTTCAGCTTAAGCTGCACCATTAATTTTTGACCTCTCTCCTTCACTAGGACTCAGAGCTGGGTGTTAAAGGCTAAATAGATTTCACTATTGGTTTTGCAGGGAAGCAAAAGGGCTGTTGAAATGTATGTAGTACATTCTTCTCCAGCTTTCAGTCTGAAGAGCATATGTAGATGTGGAAGCAGTGTGACAATTGAGAGAATGTCCATATGGTATCACAGTTTCTCCATAACAGTTTTTGTCTATAGGTCTTCATCTAGCAAACCATGTCAGTATGAGCTTATCTGTAAGCACATGCCTGAGTATTTTGCTGCCTCTGGATTTTGGTGTACAGGGGATTCTGCTGATAATGAACCAGATAAGAGGATCTACTACAGTGGGGAAAATATGCTGTAGCTTCTGCATGAAAATTTACCAGTGGCAACCCTGGGAGCCTTTAGTCTTTTTTAAGTCCTGGTGTTATTAGTGAGAATAATACTACAGGAAGGGGGATTAAAAAAACCCCAAACATAAACAAAGCACACCACAAGGACCAGTCTGGTTCTTACTTATTTCCTTTGGAATACAGCAAAATGCCACCTCTTTTTTTATTGTTGTTTTTTAGCAGTGAGGGAGGGAGGAAAGGAGGAAGGAAGAGAGGACAGAGGCAGGGAGGAAGCTTTCATTTTATTTCCAACTCCTATGTATTTTTCTCTGCAAATGTGAAGGTTGGCATGTCAGTGTCCTTTCAGAATGCACAATATGAAGAGCTTCATAGCTCCTTGGCTTCAGAAAATAGAGCACTGATGATTAGCTGATTAGCTTTTCACAGATGAGCTAAAGTTAATTTGTCCCTTCTGGAAGGGTAGAGATAGCCTGCTAGGTACAAAGAAGTTATCTTTGGTTTTCAGATCAGTGGAGGAATTCATCAGGCGCTGGTTGAGACCAAGGTTATTTCCTCAGAGGGAATTCAGATTATGAAAGACCCACACCACTGCTGCCTTCCTTCTCTCACAGTCTTTCACATCAATGGGGAGCAAGGGAAAACAGCTTTAAAATATTCTCCTTCATCCTGTACTTTAGATTACACTAGCTTAACTAACCTCACAAGGAAAAAAGCACAAATCTGTTGTGCTAAGATGCAATTTTCACATTTTGACTTGTGCATCTCACTTCAAAGAACTTCTTCCAAGTTTATTTTGAGTTTCCCATGCTAAAAATAAAGACACAGAACAAATCAGTTCAGTTTAGCTGAGAACAGCAGTTTTAGAAGCATTAGGGAAGAAGAAGCTCTAGTGTTTTCAAAACAGCACTAATGCTGTTGTCTTTAATGGGGATGGCTAATCCTCCCTGTTTTCTCATATTCCAAATGATTCTCTCTAAGTGGAAGCCCGCCAGTTATTCTGCAAAACTCCTGACTCATTCCAACCTCATTTAGGGCCTTCCTAATTGATTGCAGGATATCTTCAAAGTCAGAAGAGGGCTCTTGTTTGATGCTGTAAAAGGTTTGCCAAAAGGTTATAATCTCTTCTGTTTCTGTAATGTACTTTAAAGATACTGGAATTGAAGGAAAAACTTCCAGATCAGCAAATTTTTAGAAATATCTCACTTTTACAATTTCGTTATAAAGACAGTGGGTGTTACTTAAAATATTTTTTCAATCATTAACTAATTAATTTACCTGGATCTTGCAGGTTTACTTTGAGTTCTTTTCCTGCTGCTCATACATGAACAGTAAAAATAAGCACTTGTCATATTCCCACAACTGTTTTTTTTTCCTTCACCCCTTAAATCTCAATCTTGTAAAAAATGATAATAGTACTCTTTTACACATTTATGACATCTTCCATTAAAGTCTATTTGAAGCATTTTATAGACAATAATGTATGCAACCTCAAAGCACACTGCTGAGGTATTTATTACCAGGTTTTTACACTCAGGAGAATGTACCACAATAATCATGAAATTCCAAGACCACAGTAACTAGTTCTCAAGTTTTGGGCAAAAATAAATACTTCAGTGGAACCCAGTATTCAGAAGCTGAAACATTTTCTAAAAGTGTGGCTCTCCTCTAGTAGCTGCCCAAATATGAAGGCATCCAAAATAACTCTCCATCTTCAAGAATCTCAACATTAAGATGTTTTCTTCGACCTCCGCCTCCTGTCACTGCATCTAATTAGTTCTTTTTTTTAATCGTGTTGCATAATTCTGAAACTTTCCACTGCAGAGGC